TTCATGAGATAAATTAATTTTGCAGATATTACGAACGAAATAAACAATTTGTAATGCCGTATGCCATAATAATTTATCTGCAATCCTTGGGAACAGGAATTCAGTTTAGAACGGAACAAGTATGTATTTTATTTATTTGGAGGTAGGCAATTCTCTCCGTATAAAAGAAGACACGACTTTTAACCGCTGGGGCTTACAGAGCCCGCGGGCAAGTTGTGGGCGCCTAATTACTACGCCACACGCCACACAGCGTGGTATTGTCTTAATGCGTCACGCATGGCTTGATGTCTTCATTAGTAATTTCTCTGATTAGCTTTCTGCCGCAATGTGGGGTGGTTTTGCAGGGGTGTAACAACCCTTCCATGAAGGAAAGTGCACAAACTTCGGTTGAGTTATGACGGTGCAGAATCTTAACGTCCTCATCGTTAAAAGATTTTAAAAGTTCGGTTAGCGCCTTAGTATTATTACACCGAGTATTCGCGTTCATTGTTTTTCGTCTTCGCAATCTGATTTCTTTTTGCTTCGTTGTTGACGTAATCTCTTCAATAAAATATTTTGTAAGAACCTGTACTATCAAATTTTGTGAATTTCGTCCAGAGTTTCTCTAGCTTAAACATGCGGTCGGACAGACAGGCAAAATTGTCAGATACGATTTCTCATATATGCGTTAGTTGTTTATTAGCTAGTTAACGAATATATTCGTGCGATACAGATGTTTTGATTAAGTTAATTTTGTGTCTGAAAAACAAGGAAGACGCATATGAATTTCCAATTTTATTCTGCGGGTGTTTAAACCCTGTTTAACTATATCCGCGTACCAGGTGACTGCAGACTGACAGAATGAATGTTAAACATTGTTTTCGACATGACACGGATATCTGTAATCCGACTTCTCATCGCGCTATATGATCATTAAGGGAATGTTACAAATGTGCTTTATACACTCACCTGCTGACCAGGGTTCAGTACATGGGGTCAGCATGGCCGCCGGCCACATCGTGCCCTGACCTTTTTGTAACTCCAAAGTTCCGAACTAGACTATCGAATTTCAGTATGTCCCGAGGAAATGTTTCGGTTTATTTAATGCTCATTGGCCTTACGGTTCCGTAAAGGCTAAATTAATTTGATGCCATTAGAGTGAGAAGGCAGGAGGAGGGAGGAGAGTGAAATAAAAAAAGGTCATAGATCATTAGGCACGTAGAAAATTATGTTCTTATGGGATGGACACAGATGTTGGCGGAAACATTACAAATATTATATGATTTGAGGTTCTCATAGCGGTGAGTCTTCTGGGTTGTTGCGCTGTGTAGTATGGTCGATATTTACCAACGTTTCAGAGGTCATACTGC